GGAAGGGTACCACGTTTACCAGTGAAAGAAAGCAAAAAGCTGCTACAAATCCTTAACCCATAACGGACGGCGTGCGCCACATGGTGGCGCACGATTATTTCTTTTGTTTTTGGAATGTTTCTAGCAATCTTAATATACCCATATATACTCTCAGCAATGTGGAATAACATATCTTCCCAGGACCTGGACGGCTGGATTTTTGACAAACCTACAATAAATTTTACATACATTTTGTCTTAATTTACATAAGTTTACTATTTGATGGGTGGCTTACCCATGGTTCACACGTCCCGAGACCCCTTCCCCTAAATATAGCCACATCCTTGCTCGGGGTTGTTGTTTCGCATTTTTCGATAATGTCACCTACAGCTTCCATTCATTCTTTGCACCCTAGTTTTAGAGCGGAAAGGCGGGTTACGAACTTGTCGTCAACGGAAATCTCTTCTTTTGGATGATGAGACAGGACACCTACTTTAGCCCCGTCTTAACCCTGCTGTTCGCATAAGCCTACATAAACCCTACCCTGGGTGGCGGCGTGCGCCACATGGTGGCGCACGCGAAAAATACACTGGCCGTCCGTTATGGGTTAAAATACATTGATCGCCGGTAGTTTGAGCGGTGTTCGAGCCCCGCCTTGAGGAAGTCTCATTGGTTAGCCGTTCGTCGATATAGTTGAATGTATTTAAAGAGGTGGAGCAAACCGATTGGTACCTGCAGGAGCGGTGCGCAAACTCCGCCCACATCTCTGGCGTCTGGCGTACAATAAAATCTCGAGAGTTTTCCTGCAGTTTTTTGCTTTCTTATTTCATCGGCGGACTGATATCCACAACTGCATCTAGTTCGCATGCGCAAGAAATCTGTTCGAGTACTCAGTCGTGAAATGTGCCTTTAAGTCTCAAACAAATCGTAGTGTAGAAGCTCGACGGTTTTGCCTGCATCGAGACTCGCTTTCAAATATTGTTCTCAGCATCTGTTTACCTGCAATCTTCAGAGTTCTGCTCACATACTCCTACTCACTCGCTCGCCGAACTTCGCCGGACTCCCCGTCTTTGTGAGTGACTCTGTCGCCGAGGTGGTCCACTTGGGACATCCACATATGGACTACCTTATGTTTACTGAAGTAATTTAGGGTGTCAAAATAAACGCTCATCGAAACGTACTCGTTGCATGTTCCAATTACTTTAAAGCCATGTTCACAAGCGATATGGTTGAAAGCCGCAAACGTATGTTCATGACTTTCAGTCTATCTTTTAGTATGCCTCCTGATTACGCATGTGATTATTATAGCAAGCGTATAATTTTAAGTTTTGCGGGCTTCTTTACAGAAGAAATAGAAATGGTGGACATGAAAGCCTCAACGCTCGAGAGTCTCGTCAACTTCTGCTACTCTGGTACAATCAAGATCAGTGCCAGTAACGTATTGAGTGTTCTGCCGGCTGCTTGCCAACTTCAGTTGAACGAAATTCCAGGTCAGGCTGTTGTAATTGTAAGGTCCTGCCCAGTTGAAGGCAGAAGCAACACAACAGATTGAAGGCACACCAGTGGTGAAAGAAGGCAAGAAAATGGGCACTATTGCACTATTACAACCCCAGTGGGGGTCGAGGTGGTCAAATATGATTTCCGCTGAAACTTCTGCTATGGGGGTTATCGAGGGTCCCCGAATATGGGCATCCATTTTTGGCGCTGACGCCAAATTGGCGCCATTTGGCGCCAGCTGGCGCCACAACTGATTATCACCAAATTCGCTGTAAACTTCTGAATAGGGGTTATTTGGGGCCCTGATCACGAATATGACACTCGTTTTTGACATTCGTGCTGTTTAACGCATATTTTCTGCTTTTCTAAGCTTTCTCACCTATAGCGCCTAAGACTAAGCTTAGGGGAGGGGAGTGAAACTCCGGAGTGGGTAAACCACGCACCGTGTGGCAAAAGTTGGAGTGTGTAGACCACAGGGGAGTGGCCTACTCACTTTGGAGCCCTCCACTATTCAAAGGCTTAGTCCTGATTGCGATCTAATTAGTGCGAGGGCGCAGACGAGCAGGAAATAGGCGCCGAATAGCGCTAACAACAAAAACGAATGTCATATTCGTAATCAGGACCCCAAATAACCCCTATACAGAAGTTTACAGCGAATTTAGTGGGAATCAGTTGTGGCGCCAGCGCCAAATGGCGCCAAATTGGCGCCAGCGCCAAAAATGAATATCATATTCGTGATCAGGACCCTCGATAACCCCCATAGCCGAAGTTTCAGCGAAAATTATTTTTTGACCCATCTCACCCCTACTGGGGTTGTAATAGTGCAATAGTGCCAGAAAATGTTCAGAATCTTTTCACATTGAGCGTAAATCGTATGGGCGGAGTTTGCGCTCCACCCCCTGCACGCAGCTTTTTTTTTCTGGTAAAATGTAGTCGAATATGGTCAAGTGGTCACACCGAAGAATGAGATTATCGTGGGGATCGAGCACAAACCCCGCCCACATGAGTGTTGCACGGTGTGATTTTGGGGATTCTCAGCATTTTTCGCTCACTTTCATTCCTGGTATACTAATCATTAATCACAAAAAATTCTATTTTTGCGTGCAGTAATGCACACCTAATCGGCCGCTGAGTGGCCTTCAAGGAATGTTCGATAATTCAGCTTTGTTCATTTTAGGACCAGTGTTGTGAGTTCCTGAAAAATGAATTGACCACTTCGAATTGTCTAGGAATTCGAGCATTTGCCGACACTTATGCATGTCCAAAGCTTTTCCAATGTGCTAACAAGTATATTCTGAATAACTTCCAGGTTAATACTTTATTGGCTGTATTCTGAAATCGAGCATTCTATTCCGCTAACGTTCTTAGGATGTTGTCAACACTGAAGAGTTCCACCAGCTTCCCGTAAAACAAATAGTTGAACTAATTTCAAGCGACGAGCTAGTTGTAATAACAGAAGAACAGGTATGAGTCATATTCTGCAACTGAGACCGTGTTTTTGTTTATTGTCATCTGCATTCACATGAAATTATTTGTGTATCAGTTCCTTTCATTTACTTTAGTCGCGCAGTGCCTAAAGAGAGGAGAGGAAAGAGAAACTTCCTCCATCCGCATTCAAAATTGAAGTATCGCACTTTGCTTGACATGAACTCAATGCTTTCTGCTGAAATCATTTATTTATGTATTTGTTTTTATTTATTTGTTTATTGATCTATTTATTTATTTATTTATGTGCTCAAAAGAGTGTGAGACCAGTGTTCCCGTGTAAAAAAAACAATATAGCAAAACAGTAATGGAAAATAAGAACAAAGGTGAAAGGCTAAGTTGCCAAAAAACCGTCCGCAGTGTGAGGGGGTGAAAGCTCACCGGCGGCGCGGATGCGAGCGCGTGCCAGTGACGTCACAGCAGCCGTATAGGTACAATTCTCGCGCTAGGAGATTAGGAATTTTTTGGGAATGTGAAGGAAATCAACGCCTTCATCTATAAACGCCAACCAATGCGCAATCCATTCGAAGTTCATGTTAGTAAGTTTATTCTCCGTTGTAACTTCTCCTCATTAGACAGTGAAGTCAGAAGACGATTGAGTTCATAGTATGTAATGTATTAAAGTGTTGACGCCAATCCTTGCTCACCTGCACGCGTTCGCGACCGCCCCGCCGGTGAGCTATTCCTCGGAGCCCCGCAGTGCACGATGAGCAAATGTGTGTCATCACATTCATTCGTCATGCCAGTGCATTGTGGCAGCAGAACAGCCATTGGTGAAATTTGCAGCAAGCAAGTGCCCACACCAATTGCCCATGGTGCCATATTTATTTATGGTATTGAGATGAGGACCAAGGTCCTTCGGCAGCACGGGTAACACGGGTATCAATTTCCCTATGTGGGCCCGATCTGTGGGTACGAGCATAGTCAGAAACAAGGTTGACTTGACGGATATACTGGCAGCACAAAGCAACAGGCATGACAAGGATAAATTGTGATCTAATGTGCCAGCGGGTCATTGCTTCCAACTTCCCTGTAGAAGGAAAAAGGATAACAACTGAAACTATTTTAAGATTAACTCGAGCTAAAAATCGGATCATATTGCATCTAGCCCGAATCCCTGCATAAGATAGCAAAGAAAAAGAGGAGTAAGCATCACACGGCAAAGAAACAACAGCTGCCTTCCGAGCACAAGAGAACAGAAAAGAAAAGGTAAAAATAGAAAAGGTCTTGCAACTATATGTAGGAGGGAAGGTAGTAGGTAGTAGTATAGAACTCAAAACGGAGGAGATATCTTTGAAAGGGCCAGCATTAGCTAGCGATTTTTGTGGCGAAAACCGACTCTTCGTGGCTCGAGCTAGAACACGTGGCACCTACCATAACCTGTGTCAACAGTTTACCCCAACAGAGGTAACTGAACAGAACAGGTTAAGAAACTACATGCAAAACAAAATTAGAGAGCGCCTTCAAATCTAGTTCAGCTTCATCATAGTTTTTCCCACGGACGAAGATTGGTGATAGGAGCGTGAGGATTGAGCTCAACGGGTGCGGGACTTTTGGCTCGTCCGAGAGCTGGCACCGCGGCGAATCGCGCGGCAGGATGCGCATCGATCCATAGGATAAGGCTTTGGGGTACCCCCCAGGAGGCCCGTCGCGCGGCAAGAAGGCAAAGTCAGCGGACGAGTCGCGCGCGTACTATAGGGATTTCGCGTCAAGTTAAATAGAGTGTCCCACTGCACGTCCTACATCGCACACCTCGTCCGCCGACTCTGCCTTCTTGCCGCGCGACGGGCCTCCTGGGGGGTACCCCAAGGCTTCGCCGCAATAGAAATCAACGCGTAAACGTGTACAGATTTTGTATAAAACTTCGCATCATTCTGCGGTTTGGAAAGACGTTCCGTTTTTGAAGTATTTGAATAGAGCGGCGTCGGTGAGGAGATATGAGCGCAAAGAGGAGATGAGAGAGAGAGAACTTTCATAGGAATGTCAATGCTATCATCAAAGCGAATAGAAACACTAATTCAGGAAATCCCTCTAAGGAAGAGTTATTATGCGACAACTATGTATGCTTTGCTGATCGCAAAACTTTATGCCCTCAGGTGGAACATTTGAAACAGGGCCGAAGGTAGGTGAGTGACATAGAACTAAGCCCAGGAGAGGGGAGAAACACCAGGGAGAGCAAAAAGCTCATATCTTCACCCAGAATCCTTCTCCCTTCCTGATGCTCAGTTCTAAGCCCAGTAATTTGCTCATTCAGTCGAGTAACCCCCACCAACAGCATGAGCGCCCTGATCGCTGTGAGAACACCATGCTAGTTCCTTCACTACTCTTCCTTCTCAACCTTCCTTAGCATCACCCACTGTCCTTGAATTTCCATGGGTTGCAATGTAATTCAGCGGAGAACCTTGCGGATTCTCACAGCGAATTCTGTTGAATTCCGCTGTGAAAGCGCGCGAAGATCTGCCTCGTCGTTATCTCCGCCCAGCCTGCCGCGCAGTTTGCCGCGGGCCACCTCGGACGAGCCGAAAGGGAGTAATTCACCTAGGGACCCGCGGCCCTCCTGAGGGTGACGATGACGCAGCAAGTGGTACGGGAAAGAGTTGAACTTCGCGACCTAGTAAGGCTCAATTCTTGGGCGCGCGTGCCGACTGCACTGGCCCACGCTGACCATCAGCCGCTCGCCGCAGCTCTATACGTGACGAGATGAGAGAACGTAGTGTTGGGATGGGCACAGTGATAAGAGTCGAGTCGCATCAATGCTTTAAGGTATAGTATTAGTTGGTTCTCTTCGAGCTTCCGAGATTGATACAGAACTTTAATGGTCGAGATCCCTCCTACAAGTTTGAAAAGACAGTTGGTCCGGAACCGTCTCTATGACCGACTCTGTTTAACCCCCTCCTGCGTCATTTGCCCTTTCGGGAAAACTGGCGATTGCATGGTGTCAGGAGTCGTGTACCTAATAACATGTCAAATATGTGGAGAGGAGTACGTAGGAGAAACAGGCAGACCGCTCTGCGTAAGGATCAAGGAACACCTAGACGGGCTCAAAAAGGCCAAAAGTTCCACCCCTCTAGGTGACCACAAGGTGCAGTATCACGAAAATTCCAACATGGTGGTGAAGGTTACGATCTTGGCATGCGAACAGGAGATATCTGCTCGAAGAACCCTTGAAGCCATGTGGATTGCAGCAAAGGACCCAAAGATCAACAGGAAGGACGAGTGCGTGGCGATTACTAGGGAGCTCGCACCCTTTTCGGACCTCTGTGGGTTTTGATCTACGCGGTCAATACCCCCGCGGGGCGCCGAGGCGGGGGATTCGGGCTTCACCTCAAAAATCGATGGCTGAAGGAAAGGCGCGCGGCGATCAGCAGGTACCATCATTTTCGCGGGTGCTAGGGGTATTGATCTACGTGATCAATCCTGGGGGGTCCATCAAATGCTAATCTGACCCTTAAAATTCAAATCTCACCTTGGGGGGTTCCCTTAAGCTATATGACCCGACCCTTAATGTGCGAAAACACGTATAAAAGCAACCCCGCACGGTCTTTAAGCAAAGGGTGCCTTCCAGCTCTCGGCTTTTGTAAAGGTTAGCGGGTTTTTGTCACTGTTCATGGCTTTTATCCCTTAGTTCTTCTTCTTGTAATCCGAAATGACGGTTGGATGAATTGTTTCAAGAATATGCTTCGATTTGCAGGCTCCGAAGAAGGCGAGTGCGCCGAAACGTAAGCCGAAATAAAGTTCTGTATCAATCTCGGAAGCTCGAAGAGAACCAACTAATACTATACTAATCATGCCGAGATTAATAGAGAGTCGTTCATGGAATATTCTGGATATGGTACCAGCAAACTGTTTTCGACTCGTGAAGGACGTATTGTCTCTACGACAGAAGATTGCTATAACGAGACAATCCATCCACTTCTTACGTCGTTGCTTGAGGCACGATGTAATCCCAAACTTCATTGCTAACAAACGATTACATGAAGTTTGTGGATACTCCGAAGATGCCAAAGAAGTTAAAACCATGGAGCGACGTATTCTTGTAATGGCACTCAGGAAGAAGCGTGATCATTTGTATTCATGTCTTACGAAATGTGCTACTAAAGAATTATGTTGTGAACGATTATTGGCGGAAAGTCTTTGGAGGAGAATCGTGGGTGAGTCGAAGCAAATTTGTGATTCAATTCGTTCAGGTGTCAAAGTAAGATTACAGAAGAAGTTCTCTGGGTTAACTAGTCATGGGCGGTGTCAATCACCCCATAGCCACATTGCTATTAATTCCAACGGAAGCAACCCTGTCGCTGAAGAACCTAGCGGGGATCGTGTGTTCGAATCAAGGGTAACGGTCATAGGCAACACAAGGCTGTCCGGGGAGGTTATCTCTGTTCTAAACTTGGGGCCAAATTACGCTCCCACGCAGTCCCTTAACCACTTCACAATGCGTAAAATAGTAGGTAACCTCCAATCCCTGCAAGATCGCCTGCGCCGGAGAGCCAAGATGGACGCGCAAGGTATCAGTGCTCAGTCTATAGAAAATGGCACAGCAATTCCACCCCCACCATTTCCAGCTACGTATTTGCCCCCACAAGAGCCCAATGTTGCCATCGATACAAAGTTCCGCCTGTTCTCAACAGCTCTGCTCACTGTGCTTCGACGAAAAGTGTCGTAAACGCACACCTTCCAACCTATCGACAGCGCAGAGGCAAGGACTCAAAGAAATAAGGGCACTGTCACAGTCGGGTGCAGTAAGGATCAGCACTAGTGATAAAGGTGGGGAGTTCGTTGTCCTCTCTCAGAGCTTGGACCAAGCTATTACACGTCTACATCTTCAGGACAGCACCATCTATAGCCCGTCTGCACCGGAGGAGTTCACAAGGCAGTATCGTCACCTCAACAAGGTGTGGGCAGACGTCGCTAAGTCAGCAA